GTACGGTACAGCAGATAGGAATAATTCTTTGTCTAAACATATTCCATTACAGGACTCTCTTCCAGGGTTGAACAGCTCCTATCGTTAGGTAATTTTTCAAATTGTCCAACTGAAATCCACTTCATTGTAATTTAAACCCGTTGTTTCTTGTCCTGTCTCCAGAAACAACTTGGCCCTGCCTTATGCAGGATAGCCCTTTAGTTACTTGAGTATCACTATAATGTCTCCTCACACTTCTTCCCAGTTAAATATACTCAGCCTCTCCAGCTGTCCTTCATAAGTTATTCTTTCCAGGCCCCTTATTAACTAGATTGCTGTCCTCTGATTTGTCAATGTACTTCCTAAAATGCAGTGCCCAGAACAGGATGCAGTGTTCTAGGCATGGTCCGACTAATGCAGAATAGAGAAGAACGATGACTATTCTTGACTCTGTTGTTTCTGTTGATGCAGCCTAGGATTGCTTGTGCATTTTTTGGAGCTGCATCACACTGCCTAGCTTGTGATCCACAAGGACATCATTTCCTGGGCTCTCTCTCCTTCCCCCACAGGATCCAATTTAAAGCCACCTGGATCACATTTGCAAAGTGCTTTCTAAACGCATTTTTCCCACTTCCCATCTATTGCCAGGAATCTCAGAAGCATGTCCCATTATAAAAGAATCCAAACCATTCCTGATGGCACCAACTGCACAGCCAGTTGTTTGTTTCCAACATTATTCTGTTCCCAAGCTTCTTTGACATTATGGAGTAAAGAAAACACCAGCTGTGCCTCCAACTCCTTCATCCTCCTGCCCAGCACGTCATACTCCTTTCATATATGTTCCCACATGGATCAGAAGAAAGGGATAATGGTCAGTGGGCATCAAGAGTATGTGCCCCAATATAAGATGAAATCAAGAGAACAACTGGCTGCAGAGGGATTTAGTTTTCAATGGTTTTCGTATGCATAGCGAAGAGAAAAATTCAAATCTGATAGGACATTCGGAATTGAGGAACAAAAGACAGAATTTGAAGTTGAATACAAACGATGAGCATGTAATTGCCAAAATGTATAAACTCTTGCTGAAATTTGAAATGAAGGATGAACAAGTGAAAGAGTGTATGACAAAATTTTGGACTAAGAATTTTGGACACAGCATATTGTTGGAACAGTATGAGAACACGTGGTTGAAAGGACTGAAATTCACATTATGTTACAACATAAAAGAGAATTTTTACAAAGTGATGAACTGTTGGTATATGACTCCAGCAAAAATAATCTAGAATGCATAAAGGTATAAATTTATGTTGGAAATGTGGACAACATGAAGGTCATTTTATCATGTTTGACTTGTAAAAAAGCCAGAAAATTTTGGGTTCAAATACATATACTAATACAAAGAATTTCAAAGACTAAGATTCAGCTGAAACCAGAACTTTTTTTGGTTGGGATTAATGGACAGACAACTAGAAAAAAGCCATGAAAGATTATTTTTATGCATGATTACTGCTGCGAGACAACTATATGTGCAGCAACGGAAAGCTTCTGAAATACTCACGATGGAGGAATGGTTGGTGGAGATGGCAGAACTACAGAGATGGCAAAATCAACTTGCTTGCTTAGAGAAAGATCAATTACTACATTTATAGTGACTGGAAATCCCTTATGGACTTTTTGGTGAAAAAAGAAAAAAATAAACCGATGATTTATGGATTTG